AGAAAAAGAGCAAAAGAGCCTCCCGAGGGAGGGAGGGTCAAACAGCTGGGGTGTCCCTGCTCGTCTGACTTGTGCCTGCCCAGAGCTGCTCTCTGGGTCGCTGACACGGGGTGACTAAATTATAAGTGGTTGTTTCCCTGTGCAAATGATTCCTTTCGGATACTCTCCTGGCCTTAAACCCCATGTTTCCTTCAAGCCACCCGCTCCTTACCTAGGCTGGCTTCACACACCACTGCCGCCGCTATCAGCGATCCAGCCGACGCGCCATAGACTTTGGAGGCCGATCTTAGGATGTCAGGCGCCAATTCCAGCAGCGACTGGACCACCCCTATCTGGTAAAGTGCAAGGAAACCGCTGCCCGAAAAGGAGAGAGAGAAGGGGGCACCGGCACCGCTTGGATCCGCTCCCACCATCCCAGCCGCTCAGTCTGCACAGACGTGGCTTTCTGGGTGGCCCTGCGATTCGGCTGCTCGGGTTTGCTGTGACTAGGTGAACTCCGAGCCCTCGCGCCTTCTGCCCGTCTCGGACATTCGCCGCCTCTTCTGTGGGCCACACGGACGTGCAAGATGCACTTTTGCCCTTTTGTGACAGCTCCCTGAGATGCTGTCAGAGCCGATGCCTGTTTTAATTACCTCTCTGGCTAAAAATAACACTCTTGTCCCATCAAGCAGGTCTAGCTAGATTAGACCCTCCATCGCGCTCGTGCTCCTGTCGAGAAAGGAGCTCACATGTCCTCCCGCAGCCCCGGCGCTCTGGGGAGGGAGCGCTCCCGCCTCTCGCGACCCTCGCCTGGCCTCTTCCACGCAGCCCTTGCAAATGTTCCTCTCAGGTTTTCTTTATTCCCTCTCCTTAAGGGTGTTTTTCTAAATTGGATTCTCCCTCAATCCCATCTTAGGAACAGCTCAGTGCCGAACGAGCGGAGATTTGCTCAAAGCGCTCCCGGCCGGTGGGCGTTCCGCGAGGGATTACACGGGAGGCTGAGCTGTGTTATATTTGCAGATGGGCTCAGTTAACCCTGCACGGCCCCAGGTTTTCTTTATTCCCTCTCCTTAAGGGTGTTTTTCTAAATTGGATTCTCCCTCAATCCCATCTTAGGAACAGCTCAGTGCCGAACGAGCGGAGATTTGCTCAAAGCGCTCCCGGCCGGTGGGCGTTCCGCGAGGGATTACACGGGAGGCTGAGCTGTGTTATATTTGCAGATGGGCTCAGTTAACCCTGCACGGCCCTCGGCCTGTATCCACTCTGGGCAAAGGAACCTGGAGCCTGTTGCTTGATTCTTAGAGTCACAACCTGCGACGACTTCCCTCTCCTTTGGATTCTCCACCCCGCGCTGCGCCTTCCGCCAGGGCTCGCCACCGCCTGGGCTGGATCCGCTCGCTAGCGCTGGAAGGGTTGGTAACTCGATGTCTTGGCCTGTTGGTCCTTCGGAACGTCGGGGCCGGCCTGGGCAAGGAAGAGTTTAGTCAGGGGCAAAGTCTGTTTCCAGCCCCAAGTGACTGCGCCCTGGAAACCAGCCTTCTGCAGCCAGAACTGCTGGGGGGCTCTGGTGCTGCCGGGTGCTGCGCCACTTACCCAAGGGGGCCGCCCCAGCTGGCACCTGCTGCCGTCGCGCTCCTGGGCCTACAAGGGACGTCAGCCCCTGCGGCCCTGCAGTCCCACAGCAGCACCCAGAGAACCGAAGTGGGACTCCGGGCGCGCAGAATTTCACGCTAGGGCAGGGTCACCAGCAGGGGCGGGGGATCTCCCGTGGGTGGAGCCCCTCCAGGGGATCCTGGCTGGTCTGGCCAAGAGGCTGGCAGGTGCCGGCGCTTCAGCTCTCCCCC